AAAAGAGGTGTACTTATAAAAAAAAAAAAAAAAGGAGGTGTATATATGATGAGCCTTTAGTTTTAGATTTCAAGCCTCCCTAGTCCCTATAATACATATGATTTTTTTGTTAAATTATAGGATACTGATTTCATATCCATAATCTATATGACAAGTCAAATTAATTAAGAAAGTTTTTTTTAACAGTTTAGTACATGAATTGCATTTTGTCTTTAAACATAAATTATGCATTTTCATTGAAGATTGTAGCTAAAGTAAACACGAGAAAAACAAAACTAAAAAATAAAAGAAGGTAGCGGACGTGACAAGGAATCCGAATCACAACAAAGTGGCATAATCCATACACTAGCAGCATAATTATTTCCAAGAAAGTCAAAAGAAGAAAAAAAAAGTTTAGACGAGGCAAAGATCCCGGATTCTTTTGTGTTTTGTTCATCGGAAAAATGCAAATTCCAATTTAACAGAAAATGTAAAAGAAAGGAAGAACCACGTCACTGTTTTGTAAAAAGTTGGAGAGAAAAAACTGACATAGCTCAAGAAGAAGGACTCCACATCTGAAATTCTGTCAAGTTAACTACCATTCAACGATATTCAATTTTAGTACAAGTGTCGTTGGGATGGCACAAGATGACCCCTCACAGGTGAAACCAAAGTCTTCTCCTCAGTCTCTGTTGCCACAAATCTCCACCATGATTCCCACAACTTCATGGTTTACACCCAAAAGGTAAATGTAATGTACCTTTTCTGTTTCCTTTCCTTTTCCGTTATCCCAACTGGGTAAGTAAAGGGTTGAAAGATCCAGTCTTTTTCAATTTTGGTTATGTGGGTGTGGAAGAAACTTTTTAACCAATTCTGGCTCTTTTTCTTTGGTGGTGGTGGGGAGGAATCTATGTTCTTATGAAGTCTTTTGTGTTCTTTGGCTATGTTTTCCCATTGTGAATACTTTATCTCTTTTATCTTCTTTTGCAGGCTACTAGCTATATTCTGTGTGATTAACTTGTTAAACTATGTGGATCGAGGAGCTATAGCAAGCAATGGTGTTAATGGAAGTAGGGGAACATGCACTGAGGGTGGTACCTGCACTTCTGGCTCTGGAATACAGTAAGATATACTCTGGATCATTTCCCTCACTGCTTCACATTTACTTTTCCACACACTGATTTTAAATTCTTGGGTTTATTCCATTTTTTAGGAGGGGGTTTGGTGGTGTTTTTCATTTTAAATCTAGAGATTTTCATAGAGTAGAATAGAAATTATAGTTGAAAAGGGGAGGGAGAGGCGAAACCAAAAGAAGGGTCGTGCAGGAGGGGGTTGAGCAGATGGAAAATACGTTCCTTTTGTCACTCTTTTGTTGGGTAATTAAAGTGGGAAGATTCTTACTAATTCAATGAATCATGAAAAAGAGCCAAGAATTCACCATATATACTAAAAGACAGGTTTCATATAAATCTGAATTACTGTTCAAAATAAATGACAATTATTGATTACATTTTGCATGAATACCCTCAGCCATTGTCAAAAAACAACTGACTCGAAATTTACACTTTGCCTCTTTTCTTGATTCATATTTTTGTTATATTCAACATGTTCAATGTAGCTGTCAAAGTTTTTAAATAATTATTACATGAGTAACCAAATTATTGAAATCAATTTATCAAAGTTACATCCTTGGTTTTTCTTGCTACCTTCCTATTTCGGAGCAAGAAATCATGAACAGAGAGTGCTCTCATGGCTTTAAAGTGTGGTTTACCTTAAAATGTTAACAATAAATGAAAGCATTCTGAATTGAAAAAGTATTCATGCAAGATATCCTTAAATTATTGCAATAAGAGGAGAAAGAATTTGGGATTCTTGCTTGGTATACTGTTTTTGTCTTACTATTATGCTGTTAAAATGGCAGGAGAAGCATCACCCAGCAGGATGTAGAATTTAATTTGTAGTCTGCAAGATAACTGTTGTTGTTGCCTGTATGTGCTGCTCCATGTTGCATGCCATGACATTAATACTTGTAATTTGCAGAAGTAATTTTTCAGCTATATAGTAGTTTTTGACAATATATTTTTCTCCTTTTGTGCAGGGGGGATTTTAACTTGAACAATTTTGAAGATGGAGTTTTATCATCTGCTTTTATGGTTGGACTTCTGGTGGCTTCTCCAATATTTGCCTCTCTAGCTAAGAGGTAAAAACTGTTTGAGTTACAATTAGTTGAAACCTATTCTTATGACTACACTTTATTTAGCTTAAAAATTCAACCTATAAATGCTTCAGAAGATGAATTGTAAATGAAAAATTCTGAAAGCTGAACAGGCTTTTAAACCATCATAGATTCATTGTACTGAGTTTCAAATTGTCCTTCTTAATGTGCAATTTAATATGTAGTTAAGACAATCTTCTTGGATATGACTTTCAAATATTCAAATCAATGAGATCATGTTTCTAAAATACTTTGCAGCATAAATTATCACAAAATTTGGGTTATCAATTTATTCAACAGTTTGTCCACTAAACTGAAGTTCTTATGTTTGATAGACATAATAATTTCAACATGAGAATTTCTAACCTGTAACGCCTTGTACATGTACCATGTGTTTGTTATGATTTCTCATTAGTTTGCATATTAATCCTTACACAACTCTTATAATTTGCAGTGTAAATCCATTTAGACTTATAGGTGTTGGATTGTCAGTTTGGACTCTTGCAACCCTATGTTGCGGTTTTTCTTTTAACTTTTGGTCCATTTCAATCTGTCGCATGTAAGTGGTCTAATTCCTTTATTTTTCAATGTACTCAATTTTTGTTGAGCAGTTAAACATTAGTACCAAATGTAATAATTTTCTTATGCTTTATATACTCTCTATAGGCTAGTTGGTGTTGGTGAGGCTTCATTTATAAGTCTTGCAGCACCTTTTATTGATGACAATGCTCCAGTTACTCAGGTTTGTTTCTTTCCCTTAGTCCTGCTTTTAGATTTGAAGAATGTTGATTATCTCTCATTCTGTTGTGCTAGCTATCATGCTCTCTCATTAAACTGTAAAACAATGGTTTTGTGAAAATTTGGGTTGGTTGAAGATCAATCTGCAAGCATGATGGGAATATATGTAATCTTCTGGGGGGGATCATAAATAATTACCTCGTGTAGTAGATTGTTGTTTGCTTCATTCATTTGTGATTTGGATTCAATTCTTGAACTTTTATGTTGAAGAAATATTTCTTTTAATCCATTAAGCTGTCAGTGGGCTTTGATGGTTATCCTTCTATAGCAAAGCCATCATTTTCTTTATATCTTTATATTACTAGCGGCAAGTTTTCGACTCCAACGAAGTGATACAGGACGTTCTGTATTTTTCTTGGGCTTGGTTAAAAAAACTGACAAAGGACTTCTCATACTCCTTCAGTCAATGGCAAAACTCACCTGGAACTTGCTTTTGTAATTGATTTATATTTTATTAGGCTTGGTTGGGTTTATTGACATTTCTTATTTATCACTTGTTAAAGTATGGTAATTACTGTTGTATTTCTAGGTACTTCTAGTGCCTAAGTATTAATAAATTTCTTTTGCTGACCAAAAAAAAAAAAAAAAAAAACTAGCGGCAAGAACCTAATCAAGCTTGGTGAGTAACTACACAACTGAAATGAAATTAACACTGTTCAAATGTTTTAAGAACCTTAAAGTTAATACTCTATACTAATAAGACTTCAACAGTTTTAGTGATACTTAGTGCTATTAAGCATTCTTGACTTAGTGCCAGTAAGCGTTCATAATTCTTTATGAATGCTTAATAGCACTAAGCATTCATAAATAATGCTATTAAGCTCTAATCAGTGTAGTCATTAATCAGCCTTGAGTTGTGCGAAGTTTGCTTCTTTTCAACATTTCAATGGTCCAAATGTAATATTATATAACTGGATCTCTGTGTCCTTCTAGGTAGTCAGAATGTCATCTATCATTATGATTAATTGCTTTGTTTTTTCGCTGGTGGAAACATCTGTCTCATATTGGTTATGCATCAGAAAACAGCATGGCTTGCAATATTTTACATGTGTATACCATCGGGATATGCACTTGGCTACGTCTACGGTGGTTTGGTAAGTCTTCATTGGTTTTTTCTACCATTATTAAATACTAATTGTGACATGTATGTGTGGTTAGGATGACAAGTATCCCCCCTAAATACTCACTCTAAAGAAACAACCAATGTGTATTTTGCTTTTTTTTTTTTCTTTTAAAAGAAATAAGATAATTTTCCCTCTCAGATTTCATCTTTCTGTGTTTATTAACAGGTTGGAAGCCATTTTGGTTGGCGATATGCATTCTGGGTAGAGTCTTTGTTGATGCTTCCATTTGCTATTTCAGGATTTTTTATGAAGCCTTTGCAGTTGAGAGGTGTGCATTTGTCTTGTATTGATTTCTTGTGAATGCCTTTTACAGTTTTTCATCTCTAAACTACATGTGGATCCAGGTTTTGTTTCTTCTGATTCAGAAAAGGCGCTGACACCTGAGACAATTGTGTCAGGAGTTCAAGGTATCTAAGAGTTATGCATTATTTAAACACAACATCTCCTTTTTCAAAGTACCATTGCTCGTCTGATTCTTATGATTCAGAATAATTTTTGGTGCTTGCTATATATACATTTTCTTTTGTATATTTATAGCAATTTCATAGTTACAAATTTATGCTAATAATAAATCTGTTAGAAAAAAAAGAAGAAATTTTAGGCAGAATTCTTACAAGCTCATCTCTTGTGGATGGGTTCACATTCCTTCTTTTGTCGTGGGTTGCTTCAGTATTAGGTAGGGGTGTTCATGGATCGGTTTTTTCAAAAAACCGATCCAAACCAAACCAAACCGTTTTATAAAAGTGGATCAGTTAACCGATCCATTTTTTATAAAGTGGATCGGTTTGGTTTTCTTAAAATATGGATCGATTTTTTTGAAATTGGATCGGTTCGGTGCGGTGCAGTTATCCACTTTTTACTCATATATGGATCGGTTTTTTTAAAAAACCAAACCGAACCAAACTGATCCACTTTGTAAAAATGGATCGGATAACTGAACCGGTTTTATAAAGTGGTTCGGTTCAGATTTTTTTTCAAAATGGATCGGATTTTTCAATATAGATCGGATCGGTTATGGATCGGTTCGGATCAATTTGAATTTTTTGCACACCCCTAGTATTAGGAGCCTTTAGTGTAGTCTCTTGATCAGATCTGTAAAGGGATTGGTTTGGTCCTTTGATCATTTTTTAATACTGTTTTTTTCTTATTACTTGTATGCTTATTCTGTTTTTTAGGAGGAATCTTTATCCTTCAGTTCTATATTTCTCTCTATGTCATGTGAGTCTTCCTTTATCTTAGAAAATTAAAAAAAAATTCAAATTATCTTGTATGAAACCTTGGTTGCTGTGTACATGTTCAGATTTGTGTTCTGTCTAAAACTAGGCTTATTTCTCTTCTACCTTTCTTTCAGTTTTCTGCCTTTTATTTTAAGCAAGTGGGGAGATTATAGTTTTGCTTTTTAAAGGAAAATACTGAATGTATATAAACCAAAACTACAATTTTTGAAATGTGCATTCCATTACACACACACACACCCCAAAAAAAAATCTTGTTTTGTGGAAAGTAATATTCTTTTTCTTTTGGATCAAGATGAGTGTAGAACTGGTAATCTAATACTCATTTCTCATCTAGTATATTGCAATGGTCTGAAAATTTAGGTTTCCATTTTGTTGGCTGTTTAATGGAATAACGTTTTCTAATTCACAATGTCTTTTTATTAGCCGTAACAAAATTCACTTTTTTGATTCAAAGTTATGGAGGCTTCAAATGGCAAAGATGAGTCAATGTCCTTAAAGGCAGAGCTTAGAGATAAAAGCTCAAATGACCATTTCAAGTGAGAACACTCACCTTCTGAAATAACTATTTTTCTCATTATTGATTTATTGTGTCTTTTACTGTCTGACATCTATCATTTAGTGGCTGATATATTAAAATTTTATCTGATTGATCCCTATTTTAGGTCAAAATCTGCAACCAAAATATTTGAGAAATTCTCAAGATTTTTGAATGATGTGAAAGCACTTTTGCTTGATAAGGTCTATGTTGTCAATGTTTTAGGTACTTCTTTCTCCCACTAACTATTTTATGCATTGACTACTTTGTAATATAATATTTACCTTATTTGGTTGGTAAATTCATAATAGAAGCTGCTATATGGGTAGGTTACATCCCTGTGAACTTTTGTATCTTAGTATTTTTAGCAGTGATATTGTTTTATTTTGTTTATTTAATCCCATAACTTTAATGTCTATTTGCAGGTTACATATCATACAACTTTGTGGTAGGTGCTTACTCATATTGGGGGCCAAAAGCTGGCTATAATATATATCACATGGTGAGAATTTGCTTCACTTGATGACCCCTTGTGCATATGATTATACTATTATAGTTCCTTCTTTCTTATATATCTTGTTCCTTGCATGGAATTTAAACATGCCTAGTCAGTAAAGACACTTTCCATGTAAGAAATTGCATGCTATTAACGTGCCATATTAAAGTTGGATTACTTTGCTAGACTGATGCAGATTTGATATTTGGAGGAATTACAATTGTATGTGGAATAGTAGGCACTTTAGCTGGAGGCTTTGTTCTGGATTATATGAATAACACCTTATCAAATGCATTTAAGGTTCGTATTTAAATTCAGATAAGGACCTACTTTTGTGCCTATTTATTATGTTTTTTCCAGCACACTATTTTACGTCTAGCATATTGTCCATTTACCTTATCCTGCCAGTCTCAGAAACAGGTACTTGAGTGTTCCTTACAGTAATCTTTAATCTTATATAAACATGTTTTATATAAACTTTTGATATAAACTGGATTAGATTGGCCAGGCTTATGCCCCTCTTATAATAAAAGTCCTTTAGACCAGATTGTGGTAGCAGACTATGAGTGCATGTCCCAGATGAGAGGCAGGTTATGTTTAGGGTCATGGTTTCTTATGCCATATGATATGGATTATGCATCCTCACTAAACAGATGCTACCTTAATTGTGGAGGTTACAATCTGTAAATGAAAAGATCGGGCATATTATGCACTTGAAATTTGAAAATATTAAGACATCAAGGTCTAGGATGCTTTGTTTAAATCGCTTCACCTAAGGTACTGATCAGCTTCTTACGTGAGGCATGTGTAACAACAAAAAGTTTTGAAATCATGGTTGCAGTTTTGAAATTCTTATCCTGTATGTGACCGGTTGGAAAAAGTGTTTTATAATACTGAGATTCTGGATTGGCCTTAATATAGAATAGATTAATTTAAAATGTAGCCATAAATTGATTGAATGGAACCATATACAATGTGATTTTTATCAACCTAACCATTGAATAATAACTATATATCACCTCAATTGCTTGTGTCCATTTTTGTCAAAATTTAATAACAATATGAAAATAATCAAATAGTTCATTTGTTTATATTACATTAATTATAATGAATATAAAATAATTTTGGATTAATATAAAATTTTGTAATTACAATCTATATGAAAGGAACTTTTAATCCAACTTTTGAGATGAAATTATCCAATTAAAATATATTGAACAGGGTAAGAGTGAATGTAAACACTAGTGTAATTTGATCCCTCCTTGTTCTCTCATACTAAACACACTAAATTCATTTGCAGCTTCTCTCAACGACTACATTTATTGGTGCAGCATTTTGTTTAGGCGCCTTCTTATTCAGAAGCATGTATGGCTTCCTTGCTCTTTTCTCTATTGGTGAACTTCTTATTTTTGCTACTCAGGTACTTTACTTCTATGCAAGAAAAATCTCTTTATGTTTATTGTTGTATTGAAACAATATCCTTTTTTCATGCTTATCATCTATGGATATTTTTGCTACTGTGAGTTTTCTTTTGTTAGCTAAGTTTTTGATCTTGATGTTTCCAAGTCGAATTCTTGATGAATAATTATGTGTTTTTAAGTAAAATCACTTCTACATTTGGGAAATTAGTTGTAAACTTGCTCTCTGAGAACCAAGAATCATTCTATGGTTGGTTGTGTTTTTGAATTTTATGCTTGTTTCAGGGATCCATGTTTTTCTGTCCCTTTTTTCGTATCTGTTAGCATGCAGAGTATATCCCTGCTTATTTATATCAGTTTGTCTGAATAATTTTATCCTGAAACATGAAAGATAATCTTTTAATGGTACTAACCAATTACTGAGTTTGTACAGCATCCCTAGCTTAGAAAATTCCCGACTTCTGCATTTTTTATGAGCTGAGATGGAATGTGCTCATTAAAACTAATATAAATCGTCAGAAACCATTTTGTAACCTGATCGGAAGTTGGAAGTTTAGCTCTAGATGTTTGCTTGCAATTTTCTTTTCAGGGTCCTGTGAATTACGTATGTCTCCATTGTGTTAAACCAAGTTTGAGGCCTCTATCTATGGCTATGTCTACTGTTGCTATTCATATCTTTGGAGATGTACCTTCCTCGCCTCTTGTTGGAGTTCTCCAGGTCAGGCTTTATAGTTTTTTTTTTTTTTTCTTGAGTAACATAGAGAATTAATGTCTTGGCAATTCTTTTGCTATTGTTTTTAGTAAATTGAAGTGGCATTGCTGAACACTTCATAGTTCGTGTTACTTATGAGTTGTTAATTTGAGTAACCAAGAGGAAAATTGGGACTTTTCCACACATTCATGTTACCTGAAATTGTGCTAGACAAGTTAGTGAGAAGAAAACGTCAACTAAGTACATGATGCAAAATCAGGTGCATAAAATTTGCTCGTTATTTAAAGTAACAAAACCCCTTTTAAGCCAAATGCTTATGATAAAAAATACTGCATTTATGAAAACATACAAGTCAAACTAACTTTTTTTTTTTTTTTTCTTGTTTAAGCCCTTGGGGGTGGGATGCGTGGGGAGAATATATAGGGAGATTTTAATGCATCAATTGCATTGGAATTGTGAGCCCGAATGACATTAATTGCATTGATGACCCTCATTTTTTAAGAACATGTCCTAAAATTTATCCCCAAAGTTCTACTGTTCTCATTCAAATAACAGCAAAAGTGTTGTATCCATTACTTATCAGAGAGAGGGAGGTGAAGGCGGAGAAAGTTACAGGTCACACAATGTATTATGTGATATAAAATATTCTAATGGTTGTTCATACATAATTATAATGCAGGATAGCATTAACAACTGGAGAATGACAACATTGATTCTAACAACCATATTGTTTCTTGCAGCTGGAATATGGTTCATTGGTACGTCATCACGGAAATTTCTTCTTGATTTACTATAGAGAAGAATCCCTGTTTGTAATTCTTTTTACACATACTTGTTATCAGAGCAAAGATGTTTAATATTGAAAAATAGCACTACTGAGCATGAATAAAATGAATCACCCTTGAAACCTCTGTCCAACCCAACTTTGATATAAACAAAAGCAGATTACGACTTCTAAAAATTATACCTGTTTAGTTATCTTCAAGATGTTGTATTTGAATTACTATAATCATCATGATCAAATCATAAATGTCTGATTCTCGGAAATGTTGGAAAAGTTTTTGAACATGTGTTGTGATTCGTGTATATTATGCCAGGAATATTTTTGCACAGTGTGGATAGATTTTATGAAGACAGCGAACGTCAAGTATCAAACGTTGAAAGATTAAACAGCACCATGCCTTTGCTTCCAGAGAAGACTGGAGAAACATCGGCATCTCCTTCTCAATCCCAAGAGTGTTGACTTTTCTTTTTTATGCTTGTTCAAGCACAGTATTTCGCACAAGGCACAATGACAGCCACTACGATGTAAATAACTTTTTTTTTTGTACATTTATATTTTTTTTTCTCGTATGTATCCCATTTTTGGGAAGCAATCTTGTTTAAAGTATAGTCAAACAGTAAACATAAATCCCTCTCCAAGTACAGATTTGAACCTTGGTTTTGCTCTTGGTTAATAGAAATTTAGCAAGAGTATATTTCAGTGTTATGCTTCATCTTATACATGACGACCCTAGTGAATTTTTTTTTGAATAAAATTGCTAGTGGCTATCCTTCTAGTCACTTTGCTAAATCCTCTTCATTTGTATATGTTCTGTGGTGATTTGAAAATAAACTGAACATTATGACCGTATGGTATAGGTCATTTGTTATCCGCAGTAGTTCCCCGGTAGTTGGAAATTATCACTGTGAGCCACTGAAAAGATTCACCGAGGAAGAAAGATATGTGATTTATGTCACAATTATAAGAAATTATCATTTATTTAGAATATCAGGTACAACTGTTCACAATTTAGATCTGGTTAAGTTTATCATTCAATTTTTTTTCTGCTTTATCCCCAAACTCTAAGTCTGCTCGAGTTTGACACTTTTTAAGTATGTATACATTGTGAACATGGACACAACATGGGACTATTATGTCTTCCAAGTCTCACACTCTTTAGAAAGGAACACGTCATGAACGTACTTTAAACAATTCGACAGATTATGTCCACATAAATTGGACAAATTTTCATCTCGATGTATTATTTGATATGTAAACTTGAATTTTTTTTTAAAAAAAGAATAAATCTCGATAAAAATATATAAAAAAATGATTTAAATTTTTTTTTTTAAAAAAGAAGAATAAATCTCAATAAAAATAAAAGAAAAAAAATAAGGAGAATTTGAAACTTTTTAAAAAATGAAAAAAATCTTGATAAAAATAAAAATAAAGAAGGTAAAATTTAAGATTTTTTAAAAAACAAATTGATAAAAATACAAATAAGAAAGAGAATTTTTCTGCCTCTCCTTCCTTAATTTTCACATAATAAAAAAGAAAAAATCTTAATAAAAATAAAAACAATAAATGAAGGGTTCAAAATTTTAAAAAAATTATTGTGAAATATGATGTTTCTTAATAATTTATTTTTGAGACTTAGTAAATTATTGTTATATTAATATATAATATTTTGTCATGTTATTTATATTATATATATATATATTGTGTCCACATATCTTATATTTTTTAATTTTACCGTATACATGACTCAGTAGTATCTTCGTATCATGTCTGAATCAGTGTTGCATAGGTTTTATATTGTAAACCTATATTGTTATCGCCGTTTGAATCGTGCAAGATGTATCATATTTTTGTCCTTTAATGTTGGTCTATTCACACTCCTATTTGAGAACCATCTTAAGTTACCTCATTAGACAGAAATATAAAAGGAGAAAGACAAAATAAAATGCAGAATATATAAGCAAGATGGATTTATTGAACTAACGCCTGGCCAAGTGATGTCAAAGATATAACCGGGGAAGCTCAACAGAAGAATTTGCTAATCCATAAATAGAATTGTAGAAAATGCAAGCAATTGCATGAACAGTAACACTCCCTCGATACATCTACCTCTACACAAGTGACAACTCTCCTGCAGGAATTGATCTCTTGATCAGTTTATTCCAGGACTCATTGGTCTCTGTAATGACCTTAAGCGCATAATCCTGTTCACCAAATACAAGCTTTAAGAGTTAAGAATCAGCCGAGACAAATTAAGGTCATGACCACACACTGTAGAAGATTCATACCTTGCTTTTATCTTATTAATTTATGTCATGGAAATTTTCAGTTAAGTATAAGAATTTAATTTAGTAATTATACACAAAAAGAATGTTATATAACTTGTAATCCTAATTCCTAAAACACCCTCCTTCTTTCCCTGACCCCTACAGTAATCAAGGCAACCGACTTCCAGAAAAAATGCAGCTACAAAAACACTTTATCAGTAACCATAACAGAAACCAAATCATTTGAAGTAACATATAAACTGTTATACTCTGTCATGAAGTACAAAAATTGAGTAAAGAATTTCGGATGATACTTGATTCAAGAGACTCATGCAGTTAAAATACCTTATTTGCTGCCTGGTTGCCAAGCCCAAATTTGTTAGCAGGCTTTCCATCAGGTATCTTGTAGTCTCTGAACCAGTCCCTAATTGCAGTTAGAGTTCCCTGAAGACAACCAAAAATTATGTAACACACAAAAGTTGCTGATAATGACACTAATTGAGAATCTTGGACAAATGTTAACATCTTCGTGAAAGCAGCTACAACATAGATTGCTCATGATAAACATAAAATATCTTGTTCTCCTAATCAGATCAAGGGGGTTTTCAAGAACTTTCATAAACTTATTTGGACTCGTCTTCCCGTATAAGCATTTAAGCTGAAAATCCCTAATATCAACTGTACAATCAGGACTATTCTAATTGACTCAGAAGTCTGGTTAGTCAATTTTGCAGTAAAAGTAAATAAGCTGCCTGACCTAAATAGGTAACTTGGATCAAACACTTCAAAAATCACCTTGGCTGCTCAATATAATCACAAACGAATAAATGAACAAGAACAGACATAGAAAATTGTTGCGGGTTGCATCAATTGTCCCGTGGCGGAGGCTAGGTGGGCCAAGTCACTGTCGAATCATGGCGCTTGGGCTGCTGCGCTCTTAAGTAAAAAGAGTTGCGCCCTGACTATCAACTATAGCTTTTGGCCTAGTGGTAAGCGCTCGATCCAACAATTGGTATCAGAACCAAGGTCATGAGTTCGATACCCAGCGGGGCAATTGCTGAGGGGGAGATTGTTGCGGGTTGCATCAATTGTCCCGTGGCGGAGGCTAGGTGGGCCAAGTCACTGTCGAATCATGGCGCTTGGGCTGCTGCGCTCTTAAGTAAAAAGAGTTGCGCCCTGACTATCAGCTATAACTTTTGGCCTAGTGGTAAGCGCTCGATCCAACAAAAATAAATGATCAGCATGTTAGGTGATAGAGCTTACCGGAAAATGCTTCTCAACATCGTTAACATCATTCACAAATGATGCCTTTGGATCATCTAATGAAATTGCAACTATTTTCCAATCAAGTTCTCCTTCATCAATCATGGCTAATGCACCCAAGGGTTTGACCTTGAGAACCTCACCTATTTTCCCCCGTCTTCCACCAATCTCAACCACGTCAACTACAGATTAACAAGAATTTTAGACATGTTTATTACATCCTAAGATAACATTAAGAAAAGATAGGAGTCTACAATCATTATTAATGGAATACCTGGATCGTTATCTCCAAATGCTCCTTCAACTTCAGAGTTTGCAAAGGATGGATCTTCCCATGTTTGTGGAAGTAAGCCATAGTTCCAATGTATATTATAGCTGGAGAACAAGCAAAAGATATGTTTCAGAATAGGCTAAATAGAACCAAATCAATCTAGCTACATCAACCAAACCAAGAGAAATTCAAAATGAAGCCAATGAATAAGACATGTAAAATGCTTCAATTGTTACAGGTAAAATAACATGAAGATGGTATCATGGAAGGAAGGGTAATTATCAAAACCATCAATAAATATAAAATCTTGATTGGATTAAAAAATAGATTTATGCTAAAGTGAACGGCCAAAGATAAATAATGTAATTGAAAGAAGGAAAAAAAGAAGAAGAAGAAACAATATGAGCTTTGAAGTTGTATCTCACGGATAATATCGGAGCTTCCCCTTCTTTGTATCCTGTTTTATGGGAGTGAAAGACTCATCAGTGGCAACCTCCATCTTTGCACTGGATTCTTTAGGAATCTCAACAACAAAGTTGAAGATATCATCACCTAACCGCAAGGGAATATCATGCCAGGGAGAAACCTACACATTTTATAAATTAATTATAGTAAGTACAAGTATACATGATCTTAATTGTTACGGATAGCCCACATAGCAAGAAACTCATTCAATTAACATTACTTTCATTTTTCCAATCCTTATTGAAAATATCTCATTTTATACCGAGGCTTTTACTCTTATTGCATAACTACACAGTAGTTAGCTTCGAACGTATTAAGCAAATCTAACTACTTATTCCCCAGAAAACATTGTAACAACAAGCGGAAAGTAACAGCTCACTTGGCACCTACCCATCATTCTTCCTTTCATAGAAGCAGAGGAAATATGTATAACAAAAAGGGAAAACACACACAGAGAGACACGAAACAGAATACTCAATCAGCTTGTAAAGTATAACAATTAAAAAATATTCTAAATTAGTAAACATCAGCCTGAACACTATCCATACCAAATTACCAACTTAACAAGCTATTGATCCATCAAAGAAAACACAACGATCAAACCAGACATTACTCTAGACAAGTATATATAGCTAAACTAAATAGCTCCCACACTATTTACTTCCAACACTTCCATCAAACAAATAACAAGCAAACACAGAAACTAAAAATCATCACTTCTCAATTCCACGTTTGGATTACTCAGTTACAGAGGCCACACACCATCCTCCTTCCACTGCAAAGACCCAAAAAGTAAGAAACTTTGAACACGCAAAATCGCACAAAGGCCCAATATTTCATTGCCCTTTTTATCTCCTTCACGTTCAAAATACAATCAAATATTAAACATAGACACCTCTCCAAGCGAAAATTCGAACCTTAATTGTCAAACTAACCCTTTCCACCAAACTAAGCCCAATCCCATTGGTATTTCAATGCCCATTTAACAAAAGTTAAATAAAATTGAACAAATAATAAAAAAAGGTACCTTTTTGCCAGATTTGTCGAGAAAGAAAACTCTATAATCGAGGGATTCGGGTTGGCCTTCTTCCTTGACGACAACCTGGGGATTGTAGATGGCCCTGCAGGTGTAAGACCTCCTAGTCCGACAAAACTTAAGGTTGTTGAGGCAAAGGGCAGTGCCACCCACAAAGGGTTTCTTTGCAAGAAGAGAGCATGTGGAGTTGCTCGTTATGGTTATCGCTCTCGTAGCCGCCATGGATGCTGATTGCTGTGTTTCTTCTTCACAGTTCAGAGTGCAGAGACTCTGTTTGCTGATAGGCTTGTGTTTATGTGTTGTGGCAGTGTTGTGTCTCTTTTTTATGGTTCAAATTATTTATTGGATGGTCCAATTACGAATTGCTTAACACCACGTTTCGATTGGGACACTGTTCCATCATAAAAGGTTTATGCTTATGTAAGGAGTAAGTTTGAATCTGACTTGGTTTTTAGGCCCCATCCAATATCCATACTCCATATCCGCACTCCCACCAACCTTAAAAAGAAAAGAATGATGCTATTATTAGAAAATCAAAATGACTACATTGTGTCCAATTTCACCGTTAAATAAGTTAAGGGAAAATTCTCAAAATAGTATATCCACCTGCAATATAAAGTATTTTATATTTTTCTAATAAAAAATCTTCATATATACTAAATTTAGAGATCAATGTTATGCATATGATATGTAAACCAGTATTTTATAATACATAATTCACAAGTTAAATGTTTATTATATATGGTTAAAATTTAAAATAAATTATATATGTAAATAAATATTATGTATAGATATATATTTAAAATTTATAAATATAAATTGTATTTTAAATTTGTGATAAATAATGTATATTATAGAACAAGATTATTTTATTTATCAATAATTTATTTTAAAAAATATTAAAATTTAATTTATAAATAATTATGATAAATAAAAATTAAATTAGATAATAAATTAAAAAGTATCTTAAAATATTTTCGTTGAAAAAGAAAATTTTATAAATGAATTGATGTTTAATATATTTGAATTGATTAAGTTATCAAAATAGCTTTAGTCCATTGGGTTAAGTGAATAATTCACTAAAATAGGTTGAGTTGGTTACACTTTTCAACCCTCTAACCCAAATAACTCAACCTACCAACCTAATGAGTTTTATGAGAGATTGAATTGTACGATTAACTATTGTATTGACATATTATTTTTATATTTATTTATTAACATTAACTTATGACATTTTATGTATGATCTATTTATTTATTAAGACCTATTATAATTAGATTGTATACTTACTTTATTGTTATTGATTATCGTTTTATCATGAATTAATTTTAACTTTTTATTGTGGATTAAATATAATTAGTTTAGATTTAAAAAAATTTGTTGCTTAATCCAAACCAAATCAATATAATCATCATGTTAGTTTGGTTTGAGTAATTAGATATTTAATGAATTTTAAAAAAATGTATTTTAATAAATAGATTTCTTTCTTACTATATTTAAGTATATTAAATACACTATTATGTGTGAAGATGACATTCATTATATTGTCATATAATTTGTCTTAATTTCCTTGAGTCTTTGAAAAAAAAAAAGGAATATGAAAGTTTATATATTGTAATACAAAAATATTTTTAAAATAATCAAAATGATATATATAAATTAATTTTTACTCAAATAAAAATATTAATATATAAATTATTTGATTTTATTTATATGGATTTAAATTCTAAATGTAGAAATCTAATAATTAAATCAATCAATATCACATTTAATTAATTTTAAAATTTTAAATTGATTAAATTAGTTGGATTCAAATTGTGAGATTCGTATGATCTCATCCAATGAATGATATGAACCTATAAAAAGTTTGTCCTTTATTCAATTAATACACAGGATTCTATCTATCATATTCAATTAATACACAGATTTGTATGTATCCTTTTTACTTGTTAACTTTTATACCATGCTTTCATATATGGTGTACATAAATTATCCTTCCTTCCCCGACGGATCCGATACATTTGAATTGGAAATTAGGTGGTCTAAAATTTAAATATTTTCCTATCAACTCCAAGAGTAGTATTTATTCTTTCCTTCTTTTCCTTACAAACCCCTATTAAGTTAACATTATATACTGTTCTTATCCATGGTTGCGGGAATCCTCAAGAGACACCCACCAAGTGACAAACAATTGAGTGACTCGGCATTTATTTAATTAATTAAAAATGAAAATAAAAAGTTTTTTAAAATATTTTTTTTGTAAAGATAAGAAAAATTGTAATGAGAATTAAACCTAGGTTTTCGTACTTTTAATTAACACAATCCCTTCCCACCCAACCATTAGGTTAACCTTAATAGTTAAAATATTTTAAAAGCAGAAAAAGGAAAGATTTTAATTATTTTCCCACCCACGTTCTCCACTTTATCTTTTACTCTCAATGTCCTATTCCCATGTTCTCCACTTCATGTTCATCAATTCTCAGGATTTCTTTCTTCTAAAGTGTGGGGACCGACTTCCTATCATTTGCACTAATTTCTTCTAAAGTTAGGCAATTGGCTACCTCACAAGTCACAACCCTTTCTTCCTTTTTCGCTTCTCGTTATCACTTTTGGACCAACAGTGACCGTAAATTATTTTCTCTTTTGGATCTATTATTGTGGTATTCAACACTTCTTAATTATGATTTGTTATTTTTGGTGTCTCTTATGCTAGTTGTATTATTGTTTAGGTTTTCTGCATGCTAGGTTATAGAACTCTTTTGGGCTAAATGTTTCGCTTAGTTTTTTTTTTTTGAATGTTGAAGTTTTTTGAATCAAATGTTGGATAATATTTAAGGTTGATGTTGCTGAAGGGGGGAATTTGTTGAAGATTATACGCATTGCGTATGTTGGCACTTAGCATGTTTATGTTGGTCAATCAATCCTGGCATGTGCATTTAAAAAAGTACTTGACTAGTGATGGGTCACCCTTAGAAGAATTATGTACTTCGTGGTGTTGGGTTACCTAAACTGTTATTTGTTTTTTGGAGCCCCGGGTTAAAATATAATTTGAGACCACAAATTCAAATTAGTTTTAATCAAGGGTATTATAACATTCTATTTATACTATGTATATGGGTTTTGGTACCCCTTGTACCTCTATATATAAATACAAATATTTATTGGCTGATAAATAAAAAAAAAAAGCATGTTTATGTTGGTGTTAAAATTGTCTGTTTCGTAGGTTCGTGTGTGGAGACCTAGCTTGTTGTGAAGCCCCCGCACATTTTGTCTTTATATATATATATATAGAAATTTTCATCTTCGATTTTCCTCTCTTTTTTTTCATGTCAACAAGTCTAATAAGAAAGAGATAATAATATTTTGGGGATGTCTCAGGAGTATTTTTCTCTCTAGTGGTGATTCAAATAACATTTTCGTTTTATTTCAATTTACATATGGGGTAACTTTGATTTCTTTCCTTGCCATAGGAAAAATATGGATCCATCATGTGCTAGCAAGACATTGTTGGAGAACAAAATAATTACTTATAGGTTAATGTGTTTCCTATCTTAAACATTTAATTTAGTGCTAATTTAGTGCTAATTTGGTGCTTGTGTTTGTTTCTCGTTAGGTTGACCTTCAAGGAATGTTACTCTTTCTTTTGTTGATTAGTCTAGTACTTGCAAAGGTCGGATATAGAATGATTCAGGGATTATTATTTGTAGTTTAGGTTGATCTTCAAGCAATGTTACTTTTTCTTTTGTTGCTTAGTGTAGTGTTTACAAAGGTCATATATAGAATTGTTTATCGTTCTCTTTCTGAAATTAAACAATTATGAATCTTAAGGAGAAGATTGAAAGATTGAAATCCATTAATAACTTTTACACCAACGTACATAACCATGTACAAGCATCACATGTATGTGGGTTCAATTTATCATACTCGATCAAAGGAATACGAACCTGAGTTCATCAAGAAATTCCATGTTAGTAATGTATATATATAACTCTATCATTATAGATATTATCATTGATCCAAAGTGCTTGATTTTTCTTAATCGTAATGCATATACTCAGCACATATCATTCAAAGCAGTACTTTATCATATTTCTAAGTACCTTGTTTTCACTCTTTTCAAGTATCATGCACAAAGTTTGGCTTTCTTTAGCTAATAGGATTATAATTTATAAGGCTATATAGGAATGACAAAAAAAAATTTATTCATCAAAATTATAATGATAAAATTAAAGATTCATGGGTGAAGTTTTGGTTCGTACTTGATGGAAAATCCAACCTAAATTAATTAAATTGAATTGATTTGGATTTCATAATTTTTTTTTCTTAACGTGAAGCAAATCAATCCAGTGTTAATTATTAGATTGGTTTGATTCAATTATTGAATACCCAATTAATTTTTTTAAAAAAATAATTTTAAAAATATTTGTTTTCACAAAGAAAATAAATATTTTAACATTAACTAAATTGATATATTGTTAAAAATTAATTAAATTAATAAAATTTGCAATATGTGACACCATCTATCCCAACGTTAATACACAATAAATGTAAACAATAATTTCTTTTTCTTTTTGAGTAAATAAAATCTTTCATAGTTTAATAACATCTTTCATGTATAAAACAACTGCTTCAAATCTCATAAGGTAGAAGATTCACATTCTCAACTCATCAATCATAAAAAAAATCAAAGATAAGTATTAAGCTCAAGAAATCATACAAAGGAGAATATATATTAATTCCAGTAAAGGTGGCAGTGCCTCCTAGTTAGGAATTAATATATCACTTTCAAATCATGTAATAAAATAGTATGACAAAGATATACATTTTGGTCTTTTCTCAAGAACGTTCAAAATTACAAAGGAAGAGAAAATTAAAACTTTTAAAATAATAACATCCCAAAAAAAACAAGCCTAGCTATGCCCGATGTCACATCCTATCAGAGCACGCCCAACTGAAGCCTTAAGCCTCATTACCAACATCCTCATGATGCTGATTACCTGCAACATAATTTAAACATATACAAAAACAACAAGGGAGTGAGAAACATCTCACTCAGTTTCAGGTGCAGAAATAAAGGTTAGATAGCACCCACACACACACAACAAATATAAGTCACATATAAACAATACACATACATCATCAATATCACATATATACTCATTTATCATGCAATGATATCATGGACTCGACTCATAAATGCATGCATGTGGCGCCATAAGGAAGTTTCACAT